AACCCCTGAACCCTAAACCCCGAAGCGTCCCGGGTTCCCAAAGCCGAGGAGCTCGGATCTGCAGAGGCGACTGCCCGGCGCTTTCTGGCGGCCAAGGCGTCACCGCCGGCCGTTGAGGGCTCTAAGGGGGTTTAAGGGGTTCCTTTTAAAGGGATCCTTAGGGTTTCCCTTTAAAGGGGTTTGGGTTTGGGTTTAGGGTCTGGGGGGTATTGGGAGTTTAGGGCTCTAAGGGGGTTTGGGGGGTTTGGGGGGTTTGGGTTTGGGGGCTTCGGGGGTTTAGGGGGTTTAGGGATTTGGGGTATAAGGGGATTTGGGTCTCTGAGGGGGTTTGGGGGTTCCTTTTAAAGGGATCCTTAGGGTTTTCCTTTAAAGGGGGCGGGAAGTAAGGGTTGATGGCTCTAAGGGGGTTTGGGGCTTTGGGTTTAGGGTTTGGGGTTTGGGTCTAAGGCTTTCGGGTTGAGGGTCTAAGGGGGTTTGGGTTTAGGGTTTGGGGTTTGGGGTTATTGGTTTGGGTCTAAGGCTTTAGGGGTTGGGGTTTAGGGTTTAGGGTTTTGGGGGTTTAGGGGTTTAGGGGTTCTAGAGATTTGGGGTTTAAGGGGATTTGGGGGTTTAAGGGGTTTAGGGTTTAGGGGTTTAAGGGGATTTGGGGGTTTAGGGATCAGGCAATTTGGGGGTTTAGGGGTTAGGTTACACCCGCAGCTACGCACGTACTCCTACTTTCAGGGATTTTTACTGTTGCTGTGCCTGCTTCTGTTGTCCTTATTCGTATGATTACTACCAGTACGAATGCTATTTTCGTTATTGTTATTCTGATCTTTCGTGTTGGAGAATGTGATGCTTTCTGTATTGTTCTTGTTGTTGGTGTTTACTATTGTTGCCGTAGGGCAAAACCCTAAACCCTCAACACTTTTTGAGCTCGAGGGCAGCAGGGTGTTCGAACGTCGGGTTGCCAAGTTCATCGCACGAGGGCTTTAGGGTTAAAGACCAGGTCTGCATTGGTTGGGGCTTAGCTGGGCAGGGTTTCGGATTTAAGGTTTCGTCTAGGACATTTTCAGGTGGGTAGTGGCCGTTATGGGAGCCTTATAGAAGGTCTATATACCTTATAGAAGCCTTATGTATCCTAAACTTCCCTCCTGTAGCTTCCTTTAATTTAGGGTTAAGTGTTTAGGGCCTAGGGTTTTAGGGTTTCGAGCTCTGGGTTCAGGGTTTCTCGAGCAAGTCAGCCCCAAAAGGTGGGGGCTTAAACCCTGAACCCTATTCAGGGTTTAGGGTTTCGGGTTTAGGGTTTAGGGTTTTGGGTTTAGGGTTTTGGGTTTGGGGTTTAGGGGTTGTTTTTGGTTTAGGGCTTGCAGGGTTTAGGGCTTGAGGTTCAGGTCGAGTGTACGGGCCTGTGGTGCTTGGGGGTTCTTTGGCGTTTCAGGTTTGAGATTTAGGGCTTTAGGGGATGTCAGGGGTTTCACGTTTACCCTAAACCCTAAACCCTAAACCCTAAACCCTAAACCCTAAACCTTAGTCTTGTTTGCGGGCAGGCCTAAAGTCGCTTTCTTAAAGGCTCAAGGGACATAGTAAGCAATCAGCAACCAAGGTTGCAATCCGGATAACCCTAAGTTGAACCCCAATTATCATATTCTTACTAAGCCCCCTGAGAACTAAACCCTGGAAAAACCTGAACCCCAAACCCTAAATCCTAAGTTGGGGTGCAGTAGAGGTGCAGAACGAACAAGGCGAAGCCATTTGTGCCGTGCTGTACACTCGGTAGCTCAAATCAGTTTATCAGTTTTCACAAGTTGTTAGCGTGCTTGTGGCCAGAGAAGGACAGAAAGTAAGAGAACAAGAGAGAACGAGGGAGAGAGAGAGAGAGGGAAAAATACAGAAAGATAGAATGTCAGCTAATTCGACAGGCAGGCGGATGGATGGAACGCAGGAAAAGATAGGAAGAGACGCATGGGAATCAACGGAAAGAGAAAGATATTCATGAACCCTTTGCATTTTCGGCATGTTGACGATAAACTGATCCGAAGCAGAAGTCTTCATTATGTCGCTGACCTTTGAGGTAAACCTCATAAGTGGCAAGACTGTGTCACTTCAGACAGACGAGGACGAATCCGTGGAATCGCTTTCTGCGCGCGCACAAAGAGCCCTGGGAACTGGCAAAGGTCGACTCTTGGACTCCACTGGAAGCGTTCTTGATGGGGGAGCGCTGCTCAAGAAGGCCAGGCTGCAGTATGTGGAGCCGCTCACATTGCACGTCCGAAGGGTCGATATATGTGGCGGAAGGTTTGCCTTTGCTGCGATCCTGGGGGATGGCTCCGTCGTGACCTGGGGCGATGCTGATTGGGTTGGCTACAGCAGTGCAGTGCGAGACCAGCTGAAGAATGTGCAGCAGGTTCAAGCAACTCAGTTTGCCTTTGCTGCGATCCTCAGCGGTGGCTGCGTCGTGACCTGGGGCGACGCTGACTCTGGTGGTGACAGCAGTGCTGTGCGAGATCAGCTGAAGAATGTGCAGCAGGTTCAAGCAACTCAGTTTGCCTTTGCTGCGATCCTCAGCGGTGGCTGCGTCGTGACCTGGGGCCATGCTAACCACGGTGGTGACAGCAGTGCTGTGCGAGATCAGCTGAAGAATGTGCAGCAGGTTCAAGCAACTCAGTTTGCCTTTGCTGCGATCCTCAGCGGTGGCTGCGTCGTGACCTGGGGCGACGCTGACTCTGGTGGTGACAGCAGTGCCGTGCGAGATCAGTTGAAGAATGTTCAGCAGATTCAAGCAACTGATGGTGCTTTTGCTGCGATCCGGGAGGACGGCTCCGTCGTGACCTGGGGCGATGCTGACTGCGGTGGTGACAGCAGTGCTGTGCGAAATCAGCTGAAGAATGTACAGCACATTCAAGCAACTCCGGCTACCTTTGCCGTGATCCTGGAGGATGGCTGCGTCGTGACCTGGGGCCATGCTAACCACGGTGGAGACAGCCGAACCGTGCGAGACCAGCTGAAGAATGTGCAGCAGGTTCAAGCAACTCAGTTTGCCTTTGCTGCGATCCTTTCTGGTGGCTCTGTCGTGACCTGGGGCAAAGCTTTCGAAGGTGGAGACAGCAGTGCCGTGCAAGATCAGTTGAAGAATGTTCAGCAGATTCAAGCAACTGATGGTGCTTTTGCTGCGATCCGGGAGGACGGCTCCGTCGTGACCTGGGGCGATGCTGACTGCGGTGGTGACAGCAGTGCTGTGCGAGATCAGCCGAAGAATGTGCAGCAGATTCAAGCAACTGATCGTGCTTTTGCTGCGATCCGGGAGGATGGCTCCGTCGTGACTTGGGGCGATGCTGGCTATGGTGGTGACAGCAGTGGAGTACGAGATCAGTTGAGGAATGTGCAGCAGATTCAAGCAACTCCAACGGCCTTTGCTGCGATCCTCAGTGATGGCTCCGTCGTGACCTGGGGCGATGTTGGTGCCGGTGGCGACAGTCGTGCCGTGCGAGATCAGCTCAACAACAGCTACGAGTAGAGAGCAAGACCAAACTCGGTCAAAACATTTCTGCGCGAGTCTCCGGTGACTTCGTGGGTGAGATGCTTATCGTAACCCTTTATCCTAAACCCTAAACCCCTAAACCCTAAACCCTCAAACCCTAAACCCTTAAACCTTAACCCCAAACCCGAAACCTAAACACTAAACCTCTAAAAACCCTAAACCCCCTACTCCCCCAAACCCTAAACCCTAGTAGTCTCTATCCCTAACGCCTGAAGTCCGAAGTCCGATTTCTATGGCCATTGGCAACATGTTCGTGCGATTCTTATCATTATGTGATTCGTTTCCTTCGTTTTTTCGCATGCATTTATACGAAGATGTGGGTGGCGAATGGGTGCAGCTCGTGAAAGCCATGGGTTTTTTACCAGATGGCTCCAGGGTCACTGGGCGGTTCGTTTGAACCCTAAACCTTAAACCCTAAACCCTAAACCCTAAACCGTGAATCCTTAAAGGGTTTAGGGGTTAGGGCTTAGGGCTTACACCTGGGGTCCGAACAGTTGCTAGCTAGTAATATCCTCGTTTTGTCTCTGTTCAGGCCCTTGTGTTAACGGCCTTCATACAGAAAGCATATATGGGAGTTTCCAAAAATTAGGGTACCTTGTTTTGGGGTCTTTATAATAAGGGTCCTACTATTTAGGGTACTATATTAGGGTCCCCTATTTTCGGAAACTTCCATATACCCTTTTAAAACTTCTTACAACTACGACCCCAATATCAGAACCCAGGACCCTCAAAGAGAGATTCGCAGCCTGCAGCTCCCCCGAAGGACGAGCACCGCCGAAGCATCCGCAGATGTCATCTCGAACTTAGAGGTTTAGGGATTTAGGGAAGCCCCCTGCCTGAACCCCCAAACCTTGAACCCTGACATGGGGTTTAGGGTTTAGGGTTTAGGGTTTAGGGTGATTCCCGAACAAAATATGAAGGCGGAGACTTTCATCAACTCCACATCCCCAGCCCTCAACCTCAATAGAACCTCGCAAGGCTCCCCTTGTGCAGTGAGGTTCTGGACAGCTTCATGGGACTTCGAAGCTACTTCGCGTCCATCTGCAACGATGTGATGGAGGCGGTTTAGGGTTTAGGGTTTAGGGTTTAGGGTTTAGGGTTTAGGGTTTAGGGTTTAGGGTTTAGGGTTTACACTGTTAGATTCTGACAGTAGTGGGGGGGGGGGTCTTATCAAGGGGCTGGTTCCCTAAACCATAAACCCTACACCCTAAGCCCTGGTTAGGGTTGCAGAGGTTCAGAGTCCAGGAATTTAGACCTGGTTTTTGGGGTTTGTGTTTAGGGTCTTCCGGGTATATTGTTTCGGTGTTTGAGTAAGCGTCCGCTTGAATCCCACCCTCCTAGACCTTAAACCGTAAGCCGCAAGCCCTAAAGTCCAAAAGCCTAAGCCCCTCAAAAGGGGGGATGAAAGGTAGGTAGGATTAAGGATCGCTTATAGACGATTAGGGTTTAGGGTGTAGGGTTTAGGGTTTGGGGTTGAGGGCTTAGGGCTTAGAGTTTAGGGTTTTGGGTTACGAAGCCATGCCTAAACCTGCGTAAACCTCCACAAACCGTAAGCGCCAGATCCTGAAGAAACCGCCAAAAGCCTTACATGTCAAAACCCCAACAAGAATAACAAGACTCCAACACCCTTAAGTTCTGAGGGTTTGAAGCCGAAGTTTTGGAATTATTCTAAAAACCAATTACTCTCATATATAAGCCCTAAACCCTAAACCCTAAACCCTAAACCCTAAACCCTGAACCCTAAACCCTAAACCCTAAACCCTAAACCCTAAACCCTAAACAGTAAACCCTAAACCCTACCCCTACAGCACCATCCCAAACCTCGACCTCGAAGCCCCTCAAGGAGCGGGGCCGTAAAGGAACCCTGAAAGGAGCCGTAGAGGAACCGGAAAAGGAGCCTTCATTAGGGTTTAGGGTTTAGGGTTCAGGGTTTTAGGGTTTAGGGTTTAGGGTTTAGGGTTTAGGGTTTAGGGTTTAGTTTAGTGGCCTTGAAAGGAGCCCTGAAAGTAAGCAACCCGAAAAGCCTTAAAGAAACCCTTCAAGGAACCTTCCAAGGAGCGCCTAACGAACCCTTATAGACACAGAAACCCCCGAAGGAGGGAGGCCTTAAAGCGACCCTCTTTTAAAGAAGGAACCCTCCACTTCAAACCCCAAACCCTAACCCCTAAACCCTTAAACTAGGTTCCCAGTAGTGCCCTTTTGCCCTTTTTTTTAAGGTTCCCTGAACAGAACCCCTAACCCTAAACCCTTAAGGAACCCTAAACCC